GGTGGGAGTGACGCAACACATTGTTGTGTTGTGTGGTGGGAGTGACCCAACACATTGTTGTGTTGTGTGGTGGGAGTGACGCAACACATTGTTGTGTGGTGGGAGTGACCCAACACATTGTTGTGTTGTGTGGTGGGAGTGACCCAACACATGTGTTGTGTGGTGGGAGTGACCCAACACAGTGTTGTGTTGTGTGGTGGGAGTGACCCAACACATTGTTGTGTTGTGTGGTGGGAGTGACCCAACACATTGTTGTGTTGTGTGGTGGGAGTGACCCAACACAGTGTTGTGTTGTGTGGTCGGAGTGACGCAACACATTGTTGTGTTGTGTGGTGGGAGTGACCCAACACATTGTTGTGTTGTGTGGTGGGAGTGACGCAACACATTGTTGTGTTGTGTGGTGGGAGTGACCCAACACATTGTTGTGTTGTGTGGTGGGAGTGACCCAACACATTGTTGTGTTGTGTGGTGGGAGTGACGCAACACATTGTTGTGTTGTGTGGTGGGAGTGACCCAACACATTGTTGTGTGGTGGGAGTGACCCAACACATTGTTGTGTTGTGTGGTGGGAGTGACCCAACACATTGTTGTGTTGTGTGGTGGGAGTGACGCAACACATTGTTGTGTTGTGTGGTGGGAGTGACGCAACACATTGTTGTGTGGTGGGAGTGACGCAACACATTGTTGTGTTGTGTGGTGGGAGTGACCCAACACATTGTTGTGTGGTGGGAGTGACCCAACACATTGTTGTGTTGTGTGGTGGGAGTGACCCAACACATTGTTGTGTTGTGTGGTGGGAGTGACCCAACACATTGTTGTGTGGTGGGAGTGACCCAACACATTGTTGTGTTGTGTGGTGGGAGTGACCCAACACATTGTTGTGTTGTGTGGTGGGAGTGACGCAACACATTGTTGTGTTGTGTGGTGGGAGTGACGCAACACATTGTTGTGTGGTGGGAGTGACGCAACACATTGTTGTGTTGTGTGGTGGGAGTGACCCAACACATTGTTGTGTGGTGGGAGTGACCCAACACATTGTTGTGTGGTGGGAGTGACGCAACACATTGTTGTGTTGTGTGGTGGGAGTGACCCAACACATTGTTGTGTGGTGGGAGTGACCCAACACATTGTTGTGTTGTGTGGTGGGAGTGACGCAACACATTGTTGTGTGGTGGGAGTGACGCAACACATTGTTGTGTGGTGGGAGTGACGCAACACATTGTTGTGTTGTGTGGTGGGAGTGACGCAACACATTGTTGTGTTGTGTGGTGGGAGTGACCCAACACATTGTTGTGTTGTGTGGTGGGAGTGACGCAACACATTGTGTTGTGTTGTGTGGTGGGAGTGACCCAACACATTGTTGTGTGGTGGGAGTGACCCAACACATTGTTGTGTGGTGGGAGTGACCCAACACATTGTTGTGTGGTGGGAGTGACGCAACACATTGTTGTGTTGTGTGGTGGGAGTGACCCAACACATTGTGTTGTGTGGTGGGAGTGACCCAACACATTGTTGTGTGGTGGGAGTGACGCAACACATTGTTGTGTTGTGTGGTGGGAGTGACGCAACACATTGTGTTGTGTGGTGGGAGTGACCCAACACATTGTGTTGTGTGGTGGGAGTGACCCAACACATTGTGTTGTGTGGTGGGAGTGACGCAACACAGTGTTGTGTTGTGTGGTGGGAGTGACGCAACACAGTGTTGTGTTGTGTGGTGGGAGTGACCCAACACATTGTGTTGTGTTGTGTGGTGGGAGTGACCCAACACATTGTTGTGTTGTGTGGTGGGAGTGACCCAACACATTGTTGTGTTGTGTGGTGGGAGTGACCCAACACATTGTGTTGTGTTGTGTGGTGGGAGTGACCCAACACATTGTTGTGTTGTGTGGTGGGAGTGACGCAACACATGTGTTGTGTTGTGTGGTGGGAGTGACGCAACACAGTGTTGTGTTGTGTGGTGGGAGTGACGCAACACATTGTTGTGTTGTGTGGTGGGAGTGACCCAACACATTGTTGTGTGGTGGGAGTGACGCAACACATTGTTGTGTTGTGTGGTGGGAGTGACCCAACACATTGTGTTGTGTGGTGGGAGTGACCCAACACAGTGTTGTGTTGTGTGGTGGGAGTGACGCAACACATTGTTGTGTTGTGTGGTGGGAGTGACGCAACACATTGTTGTGTGGTGGGAGTGACGCAACACATTGTTGTGTTGTGTGGTGGGAGTGACGCAACACATGTGTTGTGTGGTGGGAGTGACCCAACACATTGTTGTGTTGTGTGGTGGGAGTGACGCAACACATTGTTGTGTTGTGTGGTGGGAGTGACGCAACACATTGTTGTGTGGTGGGAGTGACCCAACACATTGTTGTGTTGTGTGGTGGGAGTGACGCAACACATTGTTGTGTTGTGTGGTGGGAGTGACGCAACACAGTGTTGTGTTGTGTGGTGGGAGTGACGCAACACATTGTGTTGTGTGGTGGGAGTGACCCAACACATTGTGTTGTGTGGTGGGAGTGACCCAACACATTGTGTTGTGTGGTGGGAGTGACCCAACACATTGTGTTGTGTGGTGGGAGTGACGCAACACAGTGTTGTGTTGTGTGGTGGGAGTGACCCAACACAGTGTTGTGTTGTGTGGTGGGAGTGACGCAACACATTGTGTTGTGTGGTGGGAGTGACCCAACACATTGTGTTGTGTGGTGGGAGTGACCCAACACATTGTGTTGTGTGGTGGGAGTGACCCAACACATTGTGTTGTGTGGTGGGAGTGACCCAACACATTGTTGTGTTGTGTGGTGGGAGTGACGCAACACATTGTTGTGTTGTGTGGTGGGAGTGACGCAACACATTGTGTTGTGTGGTGGGAGTGACCCAACACATTGTGTTGTGTGGTGGGAGTGACCCAACACATTGTGTTGTGTGGTGGGAGTGACCCAACACATTGTTGTGTTGTGTGGTGGGAGTGACGCAACACATTGTTGTGTTGTGTGGTGGGAGTGACGCAACACATTGTGTTGTGTGGTGGGAGTGACGCAACACATTGTTGTGTTGTGTGGTGGGAGTGACGCAACACATTGTGTTGTGTGGTGGGAGTGACGCAACACATTGTTGTGTTGTGTGGTGGGAGTGACCCAACACATTGTGTTGTGTGGTGGGAGTGACGCAACACATTGTTGTGTTGTGTGGTGGGAGTGACCCAACACAGTGTTGTGTTGTGTGGTGGGAGTGACCCAACACATTGTGTTGTGTGGTGGGAGTGACGCAACACATTGTTGTGTTGTGTGGTGGGAGTGACGCAACACATTGTTGTGTTGTGTGGTGGGAGTGACGCAACACATTGTTGTGTTGTGTGGTGGGAGTGACCCCTTCACCCGCCCCCTTCACCCGCCCCCTTCACCCGCCCCGAAGCTCACCCCCTTTTCATCAACATTTTTCTCTGGCCTTCATTTTATTTCTTTATTTTCTTATTTCCTAAATTGTTTACTTTGTTTGATGTTCGCTTTCGTTCGTATTATCTTGTTTGTATTGTGTGTTCACCTGTTTGTGTTCACCTATTTGTTTTTGTGGGGGGTTGAGCTCTGCTCTTTCGGCCCGTCTGACAGCTGGGTGGACAGCGCTTCGGATTCGTAGGTCTGTGGTTCCGGGTTCGATCCCCGGTGGAGGAGGAGACGAAGGGGCAAAAATGTTTCTTTCACCCTGATGCCTCCCTGTTACTTAGCAGTAAATAGGTACCTGGGAGTTAGACAGCTGCTTCGGGCTGCTTCCTGGGGGTGTATGCCTCTTAGTTCTGGGACTTGTATAGTGGCATACCTCTGAACCTTTTCCAGCTTCGTCTTGTGCTTGACAAGGTACGGGCTCCATGCTGGGGTCGCATACTCCAGGATTGGTCTTACATATGTGGTGCACAAGATTCTGAATGATTCCTTACACAGGTTCCTGAAGGCAGTTCTGATGTTGGCCAGCCTCGCATATGCCGCAGACGTTATTCTTTTTATGTGGGCTTCAGGAGACAGGTTTGGGGTGATATCAACTCCTAGATCTTTCTCTCTGTCCGTTTCATTAAGTACTTCATCTCCTATTCTGTATCCTGTGTCTGGCCTCCTGTTTTTACTGCCTAGTTTCATTACTTTGCATTTACTCGGGGTTGAACTTTAGCAGCCATTTATTGGACCATTCACTCAGTCTGTCTAGGTCATCTTGTAGCCTCCTACTATCATCCTCTGTTTCAATCCTCATAATTTTTGCATCATCAGCAAACATTGAGCGGAACGAATCTATACACACACATACGAGTGTGTGTGTGTGTGTGGAGGCCACCAGTGTTGGTGTGTGTGTTTCACCCCCCCCCCCCCTCCACTCTCTCCCACCCCTTCCTCTTTCCTAATATCCTTCCACTATTCCTCTTCCATATCTCTCTCTCTCTCTCTCTCTCTCTCTCTCTCTCTCTCTCTCTCTCTCTCTCTCTCTCTCTCTCTCTCTCTCTCTCTCTCTCTCTCTCTCTCTCTCTCTCTCTCGTCATTTTCAATCCTTCGTTGTCCCATCTCCAGATCCTTACAGTCTCTCTTGTTTTCTGTTTCCCTCTCTTTTGTCCCTCTTCCCCCTCCTCTCTCACCCTTTTCCCTCTGCCTCGTATCATCGTCTCCCCTCCTACCGCCATCTGTGTTCTCCAATCTTATCGCCTTTATTTCTTCTCCCCTCTCTTCTGCTTCCATTTGATATGAGGTAATGGCGAAGCTTTTGACTTGTTAAACGAATGGAAGGAATGAGAGAGAGGGAGGGAGAATGGGGGGAGTGAGGGAGAATGAGGGGGAAGTGAGAGAGAATGGGGGGAGTGAGGGAGAATGAGGGGGAGTGAGGGAGAATGGGGGGGAGTGAGGGAGAATGGGATGAGTGAGGGAGTGAGTGAGTGAGGGAGGGAGGAGGATAAGGTCCAATATACAGCTCCGGCCACAGGTAATTTCCCCGCGGGTCGCCTCACACACGCCTTTTATATTCTATTTTTATTCTCTGAAGCTTCCTGGCCGGAGAGACCCAGTGTCACGCTGCGGCGCCCCAGACCTGTCACGCTGCGGCGCCCCAGTGTCACGCTGCGGCGCCCCAGTGTCACGCTGCGGCGCCCCAGTGTCACGCTGCGGCGCCCCAGTGTCACGCTGCGGCGCCCCAGTGTCACGCTGCGGCGCCCCAGTGTCACGCTGCGGCGCCCCAGTGTCACGCTGCGGCGCCCCAGTGTCACGCTGCGGCGCCCCAGTGTCACGCTGCGGCGCCCCAGTGTCACGCTGCGGCGCCCCAGTGTCACGCTGCGGCGCCCCAGTGTCACGCTGCGGCGCCCCAGTGTCACGCTGCGGCGCCCCAGTGTCACGCTGCGGCGCCCCAGTGTCACGCTGCGGCGCCCCAGTGTCACGCTGCGGCGCCCCAGTGTCACGCTGCGGCGCCCCAGTGTCACGCTGCGGCGCCCCAGTGTCACGCTGCGGCGCCCCAGTGTCACGCTGCGGCGCCCCAGACCTGTCACGGGTCCCAGCTGGTCCCCCCCCCCCCTCTCTCTCTCTCGCTCTCTCTCTCTCTCTCTCTCTCTCTCTCTCTCTCTCTCTCTCTCTCTCTCTCTCTCTCTCTCTCCTCTCTCTCTCTCTCTCTCTCTCTCTCTCTCTCTCTCTCTGGGAGGGGGGTAGGGACCGTGGGAGGGGGTAGGGACCGTGGGAGGGGATAGGGACCGTGGGAGGGGATAGGGACCGTGGGAGGGGGTAGGGACCGTGGGAGGGGATAGGGACCGTGGGAGGGGATAGGGACCGTGGGAGGGGATAGGGACCGTGGGAGGGGGTAGGGACCGTGGGAGGGGATAGGGACCGTGGGAGGGATGGTAGGGACCGTGGGAGGGATGGTAGGGACCGTGGGAGGGGATAGGGACCGTGGGAGGGGATAGGTACCGTGGGAGGGGGTAGGGACCGTGGGAAGGATGGTGGGACCGGGGAGGGATGGTAGGGACCGTGGGAGGGGATAGGGACCGTGGGAGGGTATAGGGACCGTGGGAGGGGATAGGGACCGTGGGAGGGGATAGGGACCGTGGGAGGGGGTAGGGACCGTGGAAGGATGGTAGGGACCGTGGGAGGGATGGTAGGGACCGTGGGAGGGGATAGGGACCGTGGGAGGGTATAGGGACCGTGGGAGGGATAGGGACCGTGGGAGGGGATAGGGAGTGGGAGGGGGGTAGGGACCGTGGGAGGGATGGTAGGGACCGTGGGAGGGATGGTAGGGACCGTGGGAGGGATGGTAGGGACCGTGGGAGGGGATAGGGACCGTGGGAGGGATGGTAGGGACCGTGGGAGGGGTAGGGACCGTGGGAGGGGATAGGGACCGTGGGAGGGGATAGGGACCGTGGGAGGGATGGTAGGGACCGTGGGAGGGATGGTAGGGACCGTGGGAGGGATGGTAGGGACCGTGGGAGGGATGGTAGGGACCGTGGGAGGGATGGGGAGGGGATAGGGACCGTGGGAGGGATAGGGACCGTGGGAGGGTATAGGGACCGTGGGAGGGGATAGGGACCGTGGGAGGGGATAGGGACCGTGGGAGGGGGTAGGGACCGTGGGAAGGATGGTAGGGACCGTGGGAGGGATGGTAGGGACCGTGGGAGGGGATAGGGACCGTGGGAGGGTATAGGGACCGTGGGAGGGGATAGGGACCGTGGGAGGGGAGATAGGGAGTGGGAGGGGGGTAGGGACCGTGGGAGGGATGGTAGGGACCGTGGGAGGGATGGTAGGGACCGTGGGAGGGATGGTAGGGACCGTGGGAGGGGATAGGGACCGTGGGAGGGATGGTAGGGACCGTGGGAGGGGATAGGGACCATGGGAGGGGATAGGGACCGTGGGAGGGATGGTAGGGACCGTGGGAGGGATGGTAGGGACCGTGGGAGGGATGGTAGGGACCGTGGGAGGGATGGTAGGGACCGTGGGAGGGATGGTAGGGACCGTGGGAGGGGATAGGGACCATAGGGACCGTGGGGGGATAGGGACCGTGGGAGGGATGGGAGGGAGGGGGACCGTGGGAGGGATGGTAGGGACCGTGGGAGGGATGGTAGGGACCGTGGGAGGGGATAGGGACCGTGGGAGGGATGGTTAGGGGACCGTGGGAGGGGATAGGGACCGTGGGAGGGGATGGTAGGGACCGTGGGAGGGATGGTAGGGACCGTGGGAGGGATGGTAGGGACCGTGGGAGGGGATAGGGACCGTGGGAGGGATGGTAGGGACCGTGGGAGGGATGGTAGGGACCGTGGGAGGGGATAGGGAGCCCGTGGGAGGGGATAGGGACCGTGGGAGGGATGGTAGGACCGGGGGAGGGGATAGGGACCGTGGGAGGGATGGTAGGGACCGTGGGAGGGATGGTAGGGACCGTGGGAGGGATGGTAGGGACCGTGGGAGGGATGGTAGGGACCGTGGGAGGGATGGTAGGGACCGTGGGAGGGGATAGGGACCGTGGGAGGGGATAGGGACCGTGGGAGGGATGGTAGGGACCGTGGGAGGGGATAGGGACCGTGGGAGGGATGGTAGGGACCGTGGGAGGGATGGTAGGGACCGTGGGAGGGATGGTAGGGACCGTGGGAGGGGGATGGTAGGGACCGTGGGAGGGGATTATTAGGGCCCGTGGGAGGGATGGTAGGGACCGTGGGAGGGATGGTAGGGACCGTGGGAGGGATGGTAGGGACCGTGGGAGGGATGGTAGGGACCGTGGGAGGGGATAGGGACCGTGGGAGGGGTGGAGGGACCGTGGGAGGGGTGGAGGGACCGTGGGAGGGGTGGAGGGACCGTGGGAGGGGTGGAGGGACCGTGGGAGGGGTGGAGGGACCGTGGGAGGGGTGGAGGGACCGTGGGAGGGGGTAGGGACCGTGGGAGGGGATAGGGACCGTGGGAGGGATGGTAGGGACCGGGGAGGGATGGTAGGGACCGTGGGAGGGGGTAGGGACCGTGGGAGGGGTAGGACCGTGGGAGGGGGGGTAGGGACCGTGGGAGGGGATAGGGACCGTGGCAGGGATGGTAGGGACCGTGGGAGGGGGTAAGGACCGTGGGAGGGATGGTAGGGACCGTGGGAGGGATGGTAGGGGGGACCGTGGGAGGGGTTAGGGACCGTGGGAGGGGATAGGGACCGTGGGAGGGATGGTAGGGACCGTGGGAGGGATGGTAGGGACCGTGGGAGGGGGTAGGGACCGTGGGAGGGATGGTAGGGACCGTGGGAGGGGGTAGGGACCGTGGGAGGGGATAGGGACCGTGGAGGGATGGTAGGGACCGTGGGAGGGGGTAAGGACCGTGGGAGGGATGGTAGGGACCGTGGGAGGGATGGTAGGGACCGTGGGAGGGATGGTAGGGACCGTGGGAGGGGGTAGGGACCGTGGGAGGGATGGTAGGGACCGTGGGAGGGGATAGGGACCGTGGGAGGGGATAGGGACCATGGGAGGGATGGTAGGGACCGTGGGAGGGGGGATAGGGACCATGGGAGGGGATAGGGACCGTGGGAGGGATGGTAGGGACCGTGGGAGGGAGGGTAGGGACCGTGGGAGGGATGGTAGGGGACCGTGGAGGGGATAGGGACCGTGGAGGGGATAGGGACCGTGGGAGGGATGGTAGGGACCGTGGGAGGGATGGTAGGGACCGTGGGAGGGATGGTAGGGACCGTGGGAGGGGATAGGGACCATGGGAGGGGATAGGGACCGTGGGAGGGATGGTAGGGACCGTGGGAGGGATGGTAGGGACCGTGGGAGGGATGGTAGGGACCGTGGGAGGGATGGTAGGGACCGTGGGAGGGATGGTAGGGACCGTGGGAGGGGATAGGGACCGTGGGAGGGATGGTAGGGACCGTGGGAGGGGATAGGGACCGTGGGAGGATGGTAGGGACCGTGGGAGGGATGGTAGGGACCGTGGGAGGGGATAGGGACCGTGGGAGGGGATAGGGACCGTGGGAGGGATGGTAGGGACCGTGGGAGGGGGGTAGGGACCGTGGGAGGGGATAGGGACCGTGGGAGGGATGGTAGGGACCGTGGAGGGATGGTAGGGACCGTGGGAGGGGATAGGGACCGTGGGAGGGATGGGTAGGGACCGTGGGAGGGATGGTAGGGACCGTGGGAGGGGATAGGGACCGTGGGAGGGGATAGGGACCGTGGGAGGGATGTTAGGGACCGTGGGAGGGGGTAGGGACCGTGGGAGGGGAATAGGGACCGTGGGAGGGGATAGGGACCGTGGGAGGGATGGTAGGGACCGTGGGAGGGGGTTGGGACCGTGGGAGGGGATAGGGACCGTGGGGAGGGATGGTAGGGACCGTGGGAGGGATGGTAGGGACCGTGGGAGGGGATAGGGACCGTGGGAGGGATGGTAGGGACCGTGGGAGGGATGGTAGGGACCGTGGGAGGGGATAGGGACCGTGGGAGGGGGATAGGGACCGTGGGAGGGATGGTAGGGACCGTGGGAGGGGGTAGGGACCGTGGGAGGGATGGTAGGGACCGTGGGAGGGATGGTAGGGACCGTGGGAGGGATGGTAGGGACCGTGGGAGGGGATAGGGACCGTGGGAAGTAACCACCATAAAGAAGGGGGCATGGGTGAGAGGCGGATATCTATATATTACGCCTATATTTAGCCCCCCCTTCCCTCTTCTTGTCACCCACACCC